TTTGTAATTTTTGGCCTAATAACTTAAAGAGCAGAGTAATTTTCAAACTCAATTTATTCGAAAACCATTGGAAATATCGATTTGGACAAAGATAATATTTTTTACGTAAAATTGTTAAGATTTTATAAATCTGTAGAGAAAATTGTAAAAAAATTGAAATAAAAAAAATTACGGGCCGAAAACCCCCTTCACCAACCTAAATGGGACGCATATGATTTGCATGTTGATTTTTTTTTCTATTTATTTCTCAATAACAGAAAAAAAAACAGTTTTGTTTGAGCCCTTTTAAGGGCATATAACTTCCTAAGGGTGCGTTTTAGGGCACATGTTAATAGGAACTTTTTGGCTTATTTTAATGAGTTATAAACGCAGCAGAAGTTTGGAACACTATTTTAGAAACACCCTGTATGTTTTCGATCAATTTGAACTAAGCGTCGAAAATTAAAAAAACAGCCTATTGTTTAAAAAAAATAAAATTTTATACATGATTTATGATCTCACATAACTATTTTTGACGAAAAAATGTACTAATGTAATTGATGACAAATATATATTTTTCGGTAACCGTCCGGGAAGTGGCTACTTCCCGGACGCTTTTTCTTTGAGAAAGTAGCATTTTTTCGGCCTAGTCCGGGAAGTACGCACTTCCCGGACTAGGCCGGGAAGAATCACATCGTTGTTGTCATTGTGAATATGAAAATCTTGGAAGGTATGATTTTGATAAATGCAGTTGAACATTACCATAGCAACGAAATAACGACTGACAGCTATCTGAAGTGAAATTAGTTGACATTTTAATTTTCGAAAGTTTGCATGGTTTTTGGTCGCAATTGTCGCAATAAACTGTGGAAAGCAACAGCGATGGTGAGTTTGAAAATGTGCCTTACGAAATTTCCAATGCAGCAGCTGCGGCTATAGCACAATTATTGCCTGAAAAATCAAAGTCCAGGTACGAAAACGTTTATGTTCACGAGATGGATGTACGTTCGGATCCGGATCCGTTCGTACGGATGTATGGATGTACGAGATGGATGTACGTTCACGAGATGGATGGATATGAAGAAATGCAAAACTATTACAGAGGATGTAATTTTAGCTTACTTGGTGCAAAAATCTGAAACTGTCAAATCCTCTACCCTGTGGAGCATGTACTCTATGTTGAAAAGTACCATTTTAGTGAAGAAAAATGTAAACATAGCCACTTTCCCAAAGGTAATCGCATTTCTTAAAAGGAGGAATGTTGGTTATAAAGCAAATAAATCAGAAGTCTTCAGCAGCGAGCAAATCAACAAATTCATTAGAGAAGCAGATAATGAAACATATCTAATGCTAAAGGTAATTTTAACAAAATATTACGATTGTAGGATATAAAAGTATCAACTTAATTTGCTTCATTTTCAGGTAGCAACAATTATTGGGTTAGCCGGTGCGTGTAGACGGGAAGAACTAACAAAAATGTCAATTGATCTAATAAACGACAAAGAAGATATGTTGCTCGTGAAAATACCAGATTCTAAAACACATATTGAGAGAAATTTTGTTGTAATTGGGCAAGAAAACCTGCTGTTGTATAGGCAATATTTATCTTTACGGCCATCCCATACTCCACATAACAGATTATTCGTGAATTACAAAAAAGGAAAATGTTCGATTCAGCCCGTTGGTATCCACAGTTTTGGGAATCTCGGATTAAGAATTGCAGAATTTTTAAATTTACCCAATCCTAAAAATTACACAGGCCATAGCATGCGTCGAACTTCAGCGACGATATTTGCTGATAATGGTGGAAACATCACAAATTTGAAGAGACACGGTGGCTGGAAGTCTACCAATGTCGCTGAAGGGTATATAGACAATTCACTAACAAACAAAATTAAAATTGCCAAGACCATTCAAAAATTATCAGATGAAAACAATCAATATGAAACGGAAACTTTACCTTCTTGTTCTGACTACAAAAGGCATTTAAATATACCAAGCATTTCAAACAAATTAAACCCTTTCAATATTAGCAATTGCTCAAATTTTACTATAAATCTTAATATAAATAAGAATTAGAATGTTTCTGTTAGTACCTATCTTCTGTTCGAATTTCAATATTTAATACAAATAAGAATTAAAATGTTCGAAATTTTGTTCTACAAAAAAATATAATAAAGAAATGTGTCTCATTAATTTGTTATTCTACATGGTTGCCGAAAAAATAGTGTACACAACACGTCCGAAAACAGTTTTTTTGAACTCGCAGACTTCCAGGACTCGCCTACGGCTCGTCCTAGAATTTTGTCAACTCGTCCAAAAAAACAGTATTTTCCGGACTTGTTACGTAAATAACTATTTTAAACTGCTTTTATAAATTATGTGCTACTACCTTTTTAAACAATGTATGTATTTAATTTCTGAATCTAGTAAGTATCAACGGCCTCTAGCACTGACCTAGTTTAACTGAACTATTCTACTGTTACTATGTAAAGCAGATCGGGACTAGTTTAGGAAAGTTAAAACAGGTAATAATAAAAAGTTATACAATTCTAAACAAAATACGGTATGTTTCCACTCAATGGAGCTAGACATATTAAATTAATTGAAAGTAAACAAAACCGCAACAAAATAAAATCTTGAACAGTTTAAATTTAAGCAGAATCTGATCATGTTTCAAATGCTTATAAAAGACAACGAAGGTTAGCATCCGTCGTTCATTGAAAATTCCATATAGCCGCCTCCGAAAAGACGCTACTGCCAGTCGACTTCATACCTGGTATCATATGACGGGATGCTAAACGGATAAAAAACTTTATTTCGGCGAAACATGAATGGCCAAATACATCATTACCGCTTGATTTTGTTACATTTTTATTTTAATTTGTGTCTTGTGTAATGAAACTGTAAGTAACTTTAAAAAGTTAATATTTCAGCATTTAGTGACCTTACAGTATATCTCTGTAATGCTTGTTGAAGGAGGAAACGGTGCTATAAGCATCAAATAAGAAAATGTTTGTAAGATTGGTTCAACATTTAAGAGATTACGGCAACTTTTAACGCCAATTCGCTAATGTTGGACGGGAATAACCTCAAAGAGTGAGAAACTTAGAACTAGAAATTTTAAATGCTGTGGAAGAAAATCCTATTACACGTACTTGAAGATTAGCCACAAAATTGCAAGTATGTAATATGCTGTAAAAATCAGGTGTGTATACTTACTTTTTGTATTCCATTTATCATTCTTTTTTATTTATTACTGTTAGATTACTTATTAGATGCCATTTCATGGTTCTTCTTATTTAAAAGAATTACATTTTCGTTTATGTGGGAAGGATAGCGCTTGTGGCTAAGTAATGCACCAATAATCATAAGTGGGTGGTTTGCTTTTTCATAAAATTTGCTATTGAATAACATTTTCCTTAAGGTATGAGATTTGACAATGCATACCGCAGTTCCGAATTGTGCATGCGTTACGACTAACGCGTGCAGTTATTTGATATTACAGTAACCTGTATGAAAATTACTACGGTTTAAATAAATAGCTTTTAAGACGGGGTTTGAGAAAACATATTTATGACACGTGTTTCAAGAGATCGAAGTTAGCCTCCCTATAAATATGACTCCCATTCAAAATTACACCGATATAACAATCGCGAAATATACCTAATATCCTCATAACTAATATTTAGTGACGCGGTAACTACTTTCTGTTGCAAAATAATAATAAAAATAGATAAATTGTCATTGTCAAAATATAAATTTTGATAGATGCAGTATTTGCAACAACAGTAATACAACAATGTAATGTTACCTACATCTATAAAATAAGCACATTTAAAACGTAGTATCGAAAATATTTCATTTAAAACCGGTACATCACATTCCATTAAAAACGTTACTGGGTTATTTATTTTATATTTAATTCAAAAGAGCAGGTTATTACATGCCTGGATACACAAAGTTTACACCACATTTAGTAAGGTTTCCCTCAGTTGATTTTCGTAATTATATACTCTTATACATTCAAAAGAGCTATTTTATTTACGGTCGTATTACATTATCCTAAAATAAATGTTGATAGAAATTTCAGTGGGTTAATTCAAAATGAAATTTTTCCTTCCCCCATTAAATATTTTCACCTAACAATGGTTTCATGTTTCAAGGAACTGAAATATACCCATACCTACTTTGATTTGAGGAAAAAGTGTAAAAAAGTAAGACAAAATGTCAAATAGATGGTAAGTAACTACTTATAAGAACAAGAGAGTAGACCGGATTAATATGAATTATGAATTTAATGATGTTTAACTGAGGAATGAATTGAACATCAAACTATTTTGTTGTCTACAAGAGTTATACAGAATAGCTAGGCATATAAACAGAGTTTTGTCTGCCAATCTGAACTTTACAGAATAGCGTTCAGGTTCATTCAATCCATAACGATGCAAATCTATCAGTTCGCACTAACATACATATGTTCCTAATAGAAAGATAAATACGTAGTTTTTAAAACTGGGGGAAAATGTGTATTAGCGCATTGGAATTGAAAATTTTCTCCCTGCCCTCATGAAACCCGTAATTTTTTACTAAATTAGTTTTATAATATTTTACAAATATTACGAGACATATCCATAAAATAAGTACTCATTTTTTTTAATCGAAACGGCAGTATATTTATGAAAAATTTACATATTCAGAAAGGTACATCAAACATTATTTTTCGACGTAATCGTCTTCAACCTCAATGCATTTTATAATTCGAGGGATGAGTTTTCTAATACCGTCAAAAAATCTCCTACCTAATCTCAGGCCCATTGTTTCACGGCGTTGTGGTCCTCATAGCCCATAAACACATTCAGTTAAGAGAAAAGATAAAAACTAGAAGGTGCCAGATCAGGGCTGTGAGCGGGATGGTTGTTGATGTTCCAATCGAATTAATCCAAGAGTTGCTTTTGGCGTTGACTGTGTCGAGACGTGCATTGTCATGCAACAAGCATACTTCCGTTAACATTCATGCAGACGGAATCTGGAGATTTGTTGAAATACTGTGTTCATCTCGTCCAAAGTCAATCGATAGTCGTCACGAATCATTTCTTTGATCAGTGACACAATTGAAAGACGCGGCCATTTCATCATGAACATTTGTTCTGTTAGCTTTACACTCACGACATCACTTGTATACTTTAGTACGATTCATCACACCATCTCCATAAACAGTTTTGATTTCGTTAAAAATCTGGAACGGCGCCTTTCCCTTTGCAAAAATAAACCGGATTACGCAGTTGGCGGGATTCGGAATAACGGCATTCAGTTGAACACGACACTAAAACGACAGTTCTCAACTGACTGAGATAAATGAGCGCCCGTTCTGTTCTCAACCCTTGTTGCACTGTTGCCAAATTACTCGAAAACAAAAACCACAGAGCATCAGAGTCTCAGTACTTTAACTTTTTGGATATGTCTCGTACATTGTTCTCGTATATTGTGCAAAATACAGTATAATGTGTACAGTAATGGTGCAAAGTAACACAAAAACATTATTTTTGCATAACAACACTTTATATTACTAACGTCGTGCCATAGTCATTTCCGAGAATAAATCAGTGTGTTAAACATGGATTATCTCAAAAGAAATAAACCACATATCTTGTTTCGTCCCGTTCGTCAAGAAACCAGACATAGGTAACTGAAATTCACCCGTGTTCTATTGCTGATGCTACTAGGCAGTACTAACACATTTTTATTTGCAGTTTACTTGAACGTGCGTCTTATACGAATATAGAAAAGCATTTTGATTAATTTTCGTAAGAGTGAATTGGAAATTACAGCTCTTGCTTTAGAGGGAGAAGAGGAAAAAGAAGATGAACGAAAGCAGAAAAGGAAGAAAATGAATCACAAATAAATAAAAAAATACTAAAAAATATTTAATATTTCAAACTTTAAAGTTACCGAAAAATATGGTTTATTTAAGTTTGCAAAAATTATTTTGGAGTAAGCATGTAAATATTTTATTTCATTCGCGAATTACTCGAATTATAATAACCGTTATTTCAATCTGTAGGGAGACCTTAAATTATTGTCGTTGGATATTTTCAGAGCCGAGAGAACATCAAAAAGTAATAGTACAGTCTTGAGACATCATATCATTAAGGTTTCTTCGATATATTTTCATGATGTTAATTTAATAACATTATTCAAATCGTATAGTCGCGTAGGAAGTCTTGGGGAGCAACTGTTACTATTAAATACCCAACCTTTTATTTTTTGTAATATATATTAGTCTTTAGACTCTAGACTATTAAAAAAGAGAAAATTAATCTTGTTTAGTTTTCATAAACATATCCTATTGGGAGAAATTCAGGTTTCCATATGAGGGAGCAACAGTAAAGTAGCATAATATTAATCATATAATATGCTTTGAAATATAAGATATTTCGAAGAATTTGTTTAGCACGCGCGTTATATTGAGCAAATTTTAGCTATACCGTACGACCTCCATCTTAATTTTCCCCCGTCTCATTCTCACTGTAGGCATCTCCCTCAATCACAAGGTACATTTTGAGAAGCCAGGCATATTGCTATAGTCGAATTGACTCATGCTACTCGTTGCAGTTTACTTAATTAAGCGTTGTTTAATATAAGCCCGTCGAACAGCAGGCCACCATACGACAGCATCATAGATGAAAGAAAGCTTGATCTCAGCTGTGAAAGCCACAAAGTAGTTTCGGATGGATTCACTCGTAGTCCCGATCCAATACACAAGTTTTCGATATATTTAGGGCTCGCTGAGTGAGCTCACTAATAATGCCTGGCGAGTCCTCTGAATGGAGCTATAAGAAGTGTTGTCAAATAGTTCCTTTTGCCTGATAGTTTTTTCAATTTTATACATAGAGTGCAGTACAGTTTCTGTAGATGTCCTGCGAGCTATGAAGTGGCAGTGTCACAAACATCTCCTCTTTTATATGCCGCCATGTCCTGCCCTGCAATTTCATTAAGAAAGACGTCAGGTAGATGGGTATGAGGGTCGTTGCCTCATCCTAGGAGTCTCGATCTGTCTTAGGAATAAAGACCACTGGTACGCTTCTCCAGGGAGTCAGGTTGTATCCTTGAGCTTAAGTTGCCAGAAACAGATGATGCTTGATGGATAAAATATTCTGACTCATGTTGAAAACTGCTATCTCTCCCTCCACTTTTGAATGGGTAAATTGCTTATTTAATCACCTTATGGGTGACTCTTTTCCAATCTATAGTTGAAGCTTCTATGTGGAAAGATGACTGGGGTTGATGACTTCCCTCA